TCGAGGGTCCCCATAGAGGAGTCGGCGAGATTCCACCGAGACAAACGCTTCTTGAGGATTCCCCAGACATTTTCGATTATGTTCAAGTCAGCGCCTCTGGGTGGCCACGGGAGTACGGTGATCGCACTCTGCTCCAGGAGTCTCTTCACAGTGCCAGCCTGGTGCACAGGACTACGGTAATGTTGCAGCAAAAATAAGCCGTCTGGGTAAGGTCCGTCCAGCAGGAAAGGCAGCAACACATGATCAATAATGTCCGTGTACTGCAGTGCGTCGAAACTGCCCACCAGTCTGTGGAGGGGACTCAGTCCTGCGCTTGTCACAACACCCCACATGCTTACGGTGCATCTACCGCTTGCCGCTACTTGCTGCACATACTTGGCATCATATCTGCAAATATTTATAACTATGGTTAGTACACACAAAAAAGGTAATAATAAAATGACTTTTTAATGTATTGAGGTAGTAAATAGAATTCATTTAAAACCGCTACCTGCAATAGGCCGCCCGCCAGACGCGCAGTTGTTGATCCCATCGGCTGAAAAAGCTCACTTCATGGGTGAACACCACCTGGATCCATTCTTCATTTCCCCAAGACGAGTGGGCCTGAGCGAATGCACGGCAGGCTTGGCGGTGTCGCTCGTATAAACGTGGCTTTTTGGCTGCGATTCTGCAGTGGAGTCCTGCCTCGTGTAGGCGCCGTTCGATGGTGGGCCTCGAAGCCATTAAGTCTAGGATACTTTTGAGCTCCAGAACTGTGAGGAACGAGTCGTCACAAATGGCTGCTACGATGAGTAGATCCTCCTTAGTTGACGTCACCGGCGCTCCTGTTCCTCGAGGAGCATCGTCTACACGCTGTTCATCACGATACGCCTCGACTATTTTTCCCACTGTTTTCCGGCCAACGCCTATCGCAGAGGAAATTTGGCGTTGGGAATGTCCGGCCTCCCAGAGACCTATTACCTTCCATCTTACCGGCTTCGATATGCGAGGCGGCATAGCAGGTAAAAGAAGGAACTGTAGAGGAGTGATTCGCAACTCAAGTGATAATGATTTCTTAAAGCAACTAGCCTTCCTGAACGGAAGGACTAGCGCTAAAATGCATAAACGGTTCAAAGATACGAGCACGTTGGCGTCCGTAAATTTTATTGATAACAAAGCAATCTTAAAAATACATCGTGGAGGAGGAAGCTTGAAGGCGCTGCTATACTTCGTTTCACCTCAAGTCCAAACGCGGCCGACGTGATGAGCTCATGAACCAATCAGACAGCGTCAAAAGCGCACCATCATGGTGTTAGCCATGTTTCTGAACGTGTTCTATCATCGCTGAACCAATCATAAGCGCAAAGGGCCCAGTGACTTCCGCTTTTGACGTTGCTTGATTTGTCCCACTACCTCGTAGTGTCGGCTGCGTCTATACTTAAGCTAAAATGAAATACAGCATGCAGACAAAGCGCACAAAAAACAACAACGCGATTCTGACGATATGAGTCTGTGATTCGCAGAGTCACGCGCCCTTAGTGGCGGCCCTACTACCTCCCCTTCCCCCGGTTCGGAGATTGGGATTGGCCTTCACGTGACCGACTAGTTGAAACCTCTGCCGGCAGGATAGCGCCGCTCCGCGAAAGTCTGGCGTTCGAGTGGCGGCGTTAAGTTTGAGGCGCACTGTACTTGGATGTCTCGTCATCGTGCGATCTCTATGCTGTCCTCTGATTGGAATGCGGCTCTTTGCGTTTCGACGCGCGAAAGACGCATTTTAGAGCGATTGCTCGCCGGAAAAGGGGGGGGGGGGGGGGGGGGTTGGGGAAGCTGAATTTGAGGTCACCGATATTGGAGACTGGCATGACAGATTGCACTAAACCCACCTTTCTTATCTCTGTTACAAGCAGTGTTGGCCGTAACGCGTTTTTATGACTAGGCCTCTAAACCCGTCAAACACAAGGTTGGGGCCGAAGTTGACGGAGCGCGTCGATTGGCCTATCACGACGATGACTTCGGGCTTTTTTGGCCGACGTCCAATCGGCTCGCTGGGCAAACTTTCCCCTCCAAACTTGAGTTTGACGACTTTACACCCTAAAAAAAGGGGGTGCAGACGCTACACCCCTTGGTCACATATAATAGGGTTGTTCGTTTTCGGGTTAAACCCGATTTTACCCGATTTTTGCACCCCGAACATGTTCCAGGATAATCGGGTTAAACCCGATTTCTTCCCGAATTCCAAAACCACATAACCAACCTCTTTATTTTTACGCTGCACGGAGTTTGCCGTGCACACACGCTATCTACCCAACTTCGGGGCAACAGTGACCTGTAGTTCATTTCGCAAGCTGCGAGCAGCACTGTGGACGCTACACGGCTCTCAACCACACGCCCAACGAGCGCGCCTAACTCACCGTGGCATTTTACGGAGGCCGGCTGAGGAAAAGCGACAGTAGGCGTTGGGGCCTCGGAGGTACATTTCCGTCCCCCCGCTGTGCAGGTGGAAGCGCCTCGGCACGCCACGTAGCTTCGGCCCTGCTGCACGCAGCTTGTGAAATACACTATCAATCCCCCTTTGGCCACTGTTAGGTGTCGACGCCCAGCAGAGTCTCTGGGGTAGCATGCCATCGCGCTGGCGTCCAACCTTTCTCACGAACAACGTTCGAGCCAGTCACTCGCGTAAACAGATCGGGAAAACTTAACAAGTTTATTTCATAGCAAAATATCTGATCGAAGACGACCGTCCCTCGAACGGTCGGGATTTTCGTTGGCACCTGAAAGAGAGGAGGATTCCTCGGGCGGTACTTCCCTTGAAGCGACCGACAGCAGTCGAAGCAAGAAAACCCTGATGCCCCCCCCCCCCCCCCCCCCCAGTTACCAGCTTGAAACACCCCTAATTTTAACGCGTTAGCAATAAACAGCTCGTAATACCGTCCAATAGCAAAAAAAACAACCAATGTATTATTGAGTTTTGAGTACATTCGTGTATTTAACCCGAAAAAAAAACAAAAAACAAAAAAAAAAAACGAATTTTCGAATGTTTCCTCAAAAACCCGATTTCTCCCCGATTATCAGCCTGAAAAATAGCACCCAATTTTTACCCCCCGAATTTAGAAAAATAGAAAACCCGAAAACGAACAACCATATACGACACCCCAAAACTTCAGTTCAACGTACAACGCGCTGACGTCGAACTGACGGCCTCAAATATTGCGAGAGGGTGGATGACGGTGCGATAGGACATATTAAACAGCTAAAGTACGTATCAAAGTTTACAGGAAAAAAACACAGGTTTTGCAGTTCAACCTAGAAACCCCGATAACTTTTTTTTTTTTTTTGCATTCAGTTACACATTAACTATTTTAATGAGTTGTAGAACTCGGCTATCAAGCCGCTCGTGAAATTGCTTAGCGTCGGTACATTGTCAGTGCGCTGTACATCCAACTGAAGTTTTTGGATGTCGTATATGGGACAAGGGGTGTAAAAATACACCCCCCCCCTTTTTTTTTTTAGAGTATAGGGCCCCTATGCTACGTTTCAGCTTCGGTTCGAGCGCGGCCGATGCTATGAGCCGAAGGGCCAATCAAACAACACAAAAAGCGCAGCGTCATGGCGTGCTCTCTGCCCTTGATAGGACTAGCCGGCTGAGGAGCACGCACAGAGAGACGGCGAATACCGACGGGTCCTATCAACTGATGAGAGCACGCCATGACGTTCTGCCTCTTTCGCTGTTTGATTGTTCCTTCGGCTCATCGCATCGGCCGCGCTCGGACCTAAGCTGAAACAAAGTATAGCGTTTTCACTAGTTTGCGTAGAATGTATTTATTCCCTATTGATAATTTATTTTATGTTAGCTTGTATGCAACATGTGTTTGATTTCATTTCTTGTTTGAAAAAGAAGCATACCTACTGTGTTGTTGACTATGACTGCGTGAGTGTTTAAGTGCATGAATTGTGTTACAAGTGCTTAATTTCTGAATTGTGTGTTCTTCAGCAACTACTGTGCTAACAACATTTCTGTATACTGTTAGGTTTTCCTTCTGTAAAGTTTGTTATTATATCTTGTAAATAATGTTGTTCTACATTAAAGGGCGGAGAGGGCTCGTCAGGCGGAAATGCCCTTTTCCATTCCGCCCTGCTGGCTATGGCCAGCAAAATCAGTGAAGAAAGTAACGGCGTTGACTGTAAAGCGTTGCCTTTTCCGGTGACGTTGTAACGTACTAGTTACATTTTTAAAAGCCGTAACGGGTAACGTACTTACGTTACTTATTTCGTGTAATATGTAACGTAGTTGCGTTACTCGTCACATATTCTTCCCAAAACTTGCAAAAAACTATTTTAATTTTTTTTTCGTGTTTCTTGGCGGCAAGCTATATACATTTTTGTTGTTGTTGTGATTTTGGCGTTTTTTTTTTTGTGAGTATATAAATGAAACCGTTAAAAATATAAGGTAATTATGTTAAGTTTTTGAACAGACGTAATGTATTTTGAAGTATGGCTCGTTTGCATACCAGTAACGTCTAAGAGTAAAACGTGTTAATTCATAAGTTAAAAATAAAGCTACAAAAAAGTAACGTGCGTTACTTTTTAACAGTAACGGTAACACGTTACTTTTATTTTCAACTAACGAGTAAATTATTTCGTTACTTTCTTTCGGTAACGCCTGCGACACTGTTTGCAAGACTAGTAGCTATCAGACCGTTGGTGGCGATCATATTACAAAATTTAAGCATAAAAAAATTCAGCCCACCAGGATAGCTCGCTAAACTTGTGATCCCACTGTACATGCGGCGTATTGAAAGCGCCAACGAGAAAACGTTTTTCTTAAAATGTTAATTTTGCAAGGTACAAAAATCAAAAGGCACAGACAAAATTTTGTTTTGTTTTGTTCTGAATGTATAAATTATAACCTGAATGAAAAACAAACCATGACTGACATGCGGCGAGCAGATGTTTTCCACGTGTCCCTCAGACAAGTCCCGCTATAAAATCAAATGCGGTTGACGCTCCAACTCAGACGACGTGAACGAAAGCTGAAATTTGCCAGAAGAATACGAACGATTCGGAACAATGGCTCCTGCTCTGTTCACCCTGACGGCTCTGCTGATTCTCCATTCTTCCTGGGCATCGCAGCAATACCCAGAACGAAATCCAGCGCTTCAAGAGTATCAGAATCAATCCCCGGTAAGCCAAGAAAGCATTAAAGAAATGAGAATAGCTTACTCCTTCTCTCATGAGTACACAGCGCGAAACTGTTAGCGCGAAAATGCCATCGCCGGTTTTTTCTGTTTCCCTCTCAGTGCTGAATGAACTGTCATCAAAACTACTACAGTGGTGGAAACTGCTCATTTGCGGCACTAACCGAAGTGGTAAATTTTGCTGCCCGCCGGTACCCTTTTCAAGTAAAATGCTAAACAACAAGTCGTTCTCGCGTTAATGGTGTCACGAAGTTTACGTACTATACAGACCTCACGGGGCATGAATAAAACTGTCGCAACAATGAACATAAAGCTCTTGCTGTCTGATCGTAAGGTTTTTTGTTTTCTTTTTTTAAATTTCAGGTTTTTCCTTTGAAAGAGGACTGGTACTTGCTGTACAGGAACTTCAGGATAGATCCATTGTTCGGGGGCGCAGAGAAATGCCTGAGATTCGCCGAGGCGGAACCTGGAGTAAACGGCACTTACCCTGTGTTTGTTCGCTACACTCCAAGCCATTCTATGTGAGTTACATTACCTCATATCTTAACCCGCCTTATCTGTAATTTCTTTCCGCTCTGGTGGTTTGTTATCTGTATGCCCTCAAAATGTCAGGTGTATTCTTCCGTTTAATCCGAGTCGCTGTGCGCGCGTGTACTACCTTGGTAATCCTTTTTGTTATATCGTACTTTGCGCAATACATTCAAGCACCTCGACAACCACCAAGAGCTTGAGTGGGATTCACTCGCTCGTCACTCAATGGGCGAATTTCGCTACACAAACCTGAGTTTCATGAATGCACCAGAGTATTCATTCTTTTTTCGATTCATTATGAAGATGTAGTGACGGTCGTGTAACTCTTGAATTTTCCCCTGGGCGCGCTGGAGAGTTTTAATAAAATCCAGAAAAATTAACATTTTCACTGTTTTGAGGCGTTTTGAGGTTATTTGTAATTAAATTTACTTATATAATAAAAGTGACAGAACGAATAGTTCTACGTATTAGAGGTGTTTCCTATCCTAATTTTAAGACCATGACGGGAAGCCTAAATGTCCTGGTAGTTGCGTATTTGTGTAAATAAATTTGACGTAAAAGGTTTCACTAGATTGGATTTCAAAGAGATGGCGACACCGGCACCAAATGCCCCAAGCTGGAGCAGAGGACTTCTTCCTCCGCGGAGCGTAGACGTGTCTGTGCAGCGTTTCACAAACCTACCCTGCTAACCCTAAGGGCACTATCCGGCCCGGAACCGGATCCTTCCCGGACTCTAGCAGTCTGGAAGGTCAAATCGGCAGAACGCCCACAACCATATCAAATTAAGACAATGATTTTCCGCCCTTGTTGGGAACCATCCTGAAGGCACACACCGGCAAGCTACGCGCCGACTCAGAAACCCACGCCATGAGTCAGGACATCACGAACCCCTGCCCGCCCCCGGGGAGCCGCACAGGAAACGCTAACCATCCACCGTTACCAGGTCAGACTAATTTTGCCCTGGTTCTACAACAAGATAACGTATTTCTTTCGAGATGCGCAAGAAAGTGCCAGACAATACAGAAGTTCATGAAGAACAAAGAAATGATAGAGGCTTTCCTCGCAATCAAAGGCGCTGCCCAAGAATACTAGAAGAACAGACAAGAGGCCGATGAAATCCTAACGCAACGGAAATCGTCACCAACGACTCAAAATGACGACAGGGAATGACATGGAAACTACCCATGTCACCACGCAGGCACGTAGCCAGGATTTTGTTTCGGGGGGGGGGGGGGGGGGGGCGCCCATTACAAAATGCTGTATGAGGGGAAGGGGGGAGAGGAGGTCCCAGCAAAATCTGAGATTTCGGGGAGGGGGGCCGGGCCCCATGGCCCCCCCCTGGCTACGTGCCTGCCACCACGCCAGTTAGACCTAGCGAAACCGCACCACCCAACTCCGAGAAAACGGAGGAAACCGGACGGGAGGTGAATTACGAAAAGAAGCGTCGCATTTCCACTTCGTATCAATCCCGAGAAAGTACGCCAGCTGAGCGGAAATCCCTGGCACAAGCGGTAGTCCTGAAGCCAACAGGCAACGAGAGCGTGAACGCATTCACCGGCAGAGACATTTGTCAAACCGTAGAGAAGCATGGATTCTTTGTCCACCTCAAGGATAAATCTAGCACAATTGCGATAACCATGAACAATCCGCTTCTCACAAGCAAACTTCTTTCCATTAACCAAATTGACAAAAACAAATCTACGAGGTAATGCCACATATCGCACTCTCAAGCAACCAAGTACGTGGTGTAATATACTTACATGGAAGTAATGCCCAAGAAACCTCGGTTTCCTTCATGGAAAAGCTCGACGGTTTAAAGCACAAGATCGCCGCAGCCCGATCCTTTAAACAATCAGGCAGGACAATTCTAATTAGATTCGAAGGGAAAGCAAATCCCAAGCACGCAACTTCCTGTGCGAAGTTCTTAGCGTGACCGAGTACAGACCCAAACCCTCGTATTCCTTACGTGCCATGAAATCGGACACAAATCGGACGTTTGCCCAAGCACCGCCAAGCGCTGCGACAAAAGTGTCCACATACACGGAAACATGATGGATTGCGAGCTGCAACCAAAATGCAACAACTGCGGCGGCCTTCATGTTGCGACAAGCAACGACTGCCCCAAGAGGCGAATTCACCCGAGAAAATCTCAAACTAAAAAGTTGCAGACACCAAGAACCTATCCAAAATTGGTACTGAAAGGATCAGAGAACAAAGAAACAAAGACAGACAAATCAGGAACTCCATCCGCACAGGGAGTGTGGTCTTCGCCTCTTAAATTCTTTATAAGCACCCCTCCCCCCTCCCCCCCCCATGACGTTCGAATGGAACCAAAAGTGGACTCCGCCACCCGAGAGTCCTACGTCAATAAGCAAGCAAAGAAACCCAACAATGGCAAATATCATTTTCATCCCGTTACCACAACGAGGTAACGCAAGCTACGAGAGATCTGCATCACCAGAGGGGAGCATAGACAAAATAGAGCAAACCTTAGAGTCCATCATGCAAGCACTACACGATATTACAACAAAAAGAAAGAAATGGATAGATAAAGAGGAAAAACCTGCCACAAGAAAGCAACAAAAAATAAAAGGCGTTTACAATTCCCTGTAACGCCGGTTAGAGCGCAGCTCTTGAGGAGGAGGATGGAAGTGTACTGAGGTTTAGGTGACTCCTTGAGGTCACGTGACCTCATGGAGAGGGTTGTGTGACGTCAGGGGGTCACGTGACCCCCTCCCTCGTAACCTCGGGGTAGCGCGTGACCTCGGGGGAGGGTCACGTGTTTCGGGGTCACGTGGCCTCAGGGGGTCATGTGACCTCAGGGTGTCACGTCACCTCGGGGGGGGGGGGGGGGGGGGGTCACGTGACTTCGCGGTTACGCCGACGGCGACGCCGCTCAAGCCGGAAACGGGCCCCTAAGAGCTGCGCTCTAAAAAGGAGCAAAACGCCTTTTAAATTACAATGAAATTGCAGGGGTTTCCACAACAAAGCAGCGGAATTCAAAGAGAGGTTAGACAAGGTAGGAGAAAACAAGCCGCACGTTATATTGCTATAAGAAGCCAACATTGAGGATCTTAACGTGAGAGGTTGCACCACCTACACGCAACCCATAATAACTTGACGCTCCCGCAAAAGAGCAGATGGCAAGACCGAGAGCACAATGTACGGACTCAGCCACACAAGGTGTCACCAAAATACCCCAGACACAGCTGGACACAAGCGAATTATGCAAAGCAACAAGTGAAATTGTTGGAGTCGAATTCCGCATCGGAACCGACCAGCTTCATGTTTACAATGCTTACATCCGAGAAAACAACAAAGAGAGGGATGACACCGACTGGATGGACGCGCTCATGCAAGACACCACGCCAACACTGGTCGCGTGGGACCTGAACGCACGACATGTCAAGTGGGGATATAAGAAAAAAAAAACATCAAAGGCAAAAAACGTGTTGAGAAAGTGCGAGTAGCTCGGACTGCTCCTACTTAACGAACCAGACACTCCAACCAGGATCAGCTTGAATCTAAGACAAGGCGATACCACTGCGGACCTGACATGGGCCACCAAGAATTTGAAAGCACCATGGCAAACAAAACCAGACCCAATGAACAGTGATCACATTTCCAATATCATAACGCTACGTTTGAACACTTCAGTAAAGAAAAAACGCATTTTATCAAATGGGATGATTTCCATGTAGCCCTAGTAGACCAGAATCCGGAATCCAAAATGCAGTAAAATCTGCAGAAACACCTGCCAGGCAAAAGGAGACTCCCCCACGCCTGACCGGCGCCTTCTAAACTTATGGGCCAGCTGGTTACAGGTACTCCAACGATACTGCAAAAACAAGCGTAATAGGCTTGAAGTGAGGCGCCAAAACAACGAGGACACAAGGAGAGAAGCAGACAGGACGAGGCGCACTTTCAACTGAACTTTATTTTAGAAAAAACACAGAAACGCAAGCTATGCCCAATGTACACGTGCGCATGGGTAAGAAATGAAGATAGAACGAAGCCTAGCGCGTTTTCCTACGTGACACGTTCATTTTGAAGGAACGTATACTCCCTATCAGATAGAGATAAAGATGGGGCGCTGACACAGTTGGTTGTACACAGCATGTACAACCAACTAGCCCAACTCGCCGTTCTAATTAAGCGTAATAAGGATCTCAAGGTTAAAATAAACCTAGCCATGGTCGGGGCAAGGAGATACACCTTGTAATTGAATCCACGGAAATGGTGCGCACATTGCAGTTCCTTCGGAGAAAAGGCAGGAATTAAAAGGGTTTGTCATACATACCAAGGCACGAGCTTCAAGAAAAGGACCAAAGGTCCGGGCTCGAACTTAGCCTTGAGGCTGGGAGTAACAGAAGAACTAGCTGAGGCGGCTTGGAACAATTTATTCCCGCAACCCTCAACGCGACCTTCGGAGCAATGCTATCAAATTGAACACACCTCGAACACAATGTCATCGGACTCCCCGTTCACCATGGGATAACTAGAAGCCGCTCTCAGCGAGGTGAAATGCAACACCGCGCCAGGTCTGGACCAAATCCGCATTACAGCGCTCAGGAACTTCCCCGACAAATAAATGCTGAAGTTTTTAGACTGGTACAACGAGATATAAAAAAATGGTCAAATACGCGACGCATAAAATTCTCAACAGTCGTACCAATTCCTAAACCAGGAAAGCCCAACAATAATATTAGAAACTGAAGACCGATTTCCCTCACCTCTTACCTATGTAAGGTGTTGGAACGAATGGTCTTAGCCAGAATAAACTGGATTCTGAAGACCCACAACGATACAGCCGATACAGATTGGATTCCGCCCAAATCTTTTTCCTCAGGACAGTTTGGCGATGATACACAGGGATATCACAGCCTCCCCCCACCCCTCCCCCTCCCCAAAACCAACAGCCCCGAGCGTAGCAATCGACATCAAGAAGGCTTTTGATTCAATTCCACACAAAAGTCATTTCTGGGGCCAGAAACAGGAGGCTTCAAGGAAGACTTCGGAACTTTATAAAGACCTTCCTTCGCAAGAGAAACTCCACATAGGCAATACCAAAGGACCGCTCATTCGAAACAACGTACGCGTGCCACAAGGGGCGGTGGTCTCGCCTATCCTCTTTACCATGTCCTTCGCAGGTCTCGCATACAACCTTCAAGACGTAGAATGAGTGAAATTCACTGCATATGCAGACGATATAACCCTTTGGGTCGCGGAAGGGAATCGCCAATGGACAAGAAAAGCACCTGCAAGAGGTCCTTGACATTGCATTGAAGTCCATGTAAGAGTTGAGAATGAGCATATCCGCTCCACACGTGGTGGTAGCAAATAGGAACGCAAGGAAGCTCGGGATAGGAGATACCATCTACTTGTACGAAGTTGGCGCACGAATACAAAATCAACCGAGTGTCAAAATACGTCTCACTATCACGAAGATGGAGGGGCCTCAAACTGGCTAAACGAAGTAAAGTCCCAATAGACACAAGGCCTCAAACTTAATCAAGCGGGTCACCAACAAAGCGTGGGGAACAGATGAAGGAACCCTCAAGCTCATAGAACAAGCGCCACTTGTATAAAAAAACGTGGTATGTTCGCAACTATCTCCGCCTTACCCAAGAATAGAAAGAGAAATTAGAAACCCTCAACAAAGCGGCAAAGCGGGTGGCCACCGGCCTTCCAAAATTTACACGTATATCCGTCTTTCAGAAAGCAGCCCAGACCAACTCTATAAAAGACCTTGCAGAGAAGCTCTTGTAAGTCAACGACTCCGGCTTCAAAAGAAACATATAGGAAGTGTAATTCTCAAAATCCTGGATGAAAGAAGCTTCTTAATACCGAGCAAGGCACCGCCCCCTCTCCTGTGGGAGGACAAAATGGTGGTGGACGTCAAACCGACGCCACAAAGCCAGGGCAAGGAAATCCCCAAAAGGAGAGAGAGCGCGACGAAAAGGCACAAGCGTGAATCTGACATGATCCTCAGGCGGGAGAATACTGAGGTCATTCACACGGACGCCGCACGAAATGAAGACGGGACTACTGCACTCGCGTGGCACTCAGCCAGAATCGGTACCGCTGTTAGTACGTCCCCAACAGCAGGAGCGTGAAAGCAGCAGAACGTCATGCCATCCTCTAGTCTAGGCACTCAAAGACCTCAGTTTTCAGGACTGACCTCAATACATATACATTTTCACTGATTCCCAGAAAGCAGTTAGAGAATGCAAAAGGATAGATAGCAAAAACAATGTTCCAAAGAAAATCAAGAAGGTGGTTAAGATCCCCAGATGCCACAGAAGGGACGTCAAAATTGCGTGAATACCGGGACATCAAGGCATCACGGGTAACGAGGAAGCCCACGAGACCGCGCAGAACGAGTTGCAAGCATACAGCTCCGCACAAGGCCTTAAGAACTCCTCGAGTCAAATCTCACCAATAGGACTAGATCCTGATGCAATCAAAGAAGCCGAAAAAAGCGAAAGAAAAGCACGGTTGGCGGCCCTTCTACCTGTGGAGGACAACCCACTCCTACCGCAGTATTCCAGATGGGAAAAGGCATGCCTTCGTTGTATAGCAACGAACACAGCAATTACACCGGTGCTACTTCAAATATTCCGATTCTTTCATTCATTCATTTGTTTATTTTCTGTGCTCATGAACAGCTTGACGCCTTGATAATGACGCAGAACAAAATGTTCACAGGTTAGTTACAAAAATCTTAAAAGCTACGAAATTTGGGTTAAAAGCATCAATATCGGCTCCACTGAGGGTATTCTAGAAGTGTTGAATACGGGTTCTGGGACTGGCTTGGATGATGTGATTAACATGGAAAGTTGGAGAAACCCGCATAAGTCGACTTGGAACGTGAACATTAATAGCAGATGTGAGGTCAGGGCAATCAATTAATCCATGAATATATTTATACAGGAAAACAAGATCTTGCTCACGCCGTCTAGAACTCAAAGTAGGGCATTTGCATTGTTCCAACAGTCTCGGATAAGAATAATAAACAGTACGGCCAATGTAACGATCATAAACATTTCGAAAAAAAAAAAACGCTTTTGAACATTTTCAATTATCTCTTGGCTCGTAGAACTCGTAAAACTCCAGGCTACAGAGGAAAACTTCAGCTTGGTTCGGATTAACGAGAATTATGACCGTAGAATACAGGTTGATGTGAAGAATTCACGCGTGATTCTAGAAAGTACTCCCCCCAGCTTACGCAACGAGCCATTTATAAGGTTGTTAACACGTACAGTAAAGTATAACGAAGAGTCTATGTATACACTAAGATCACGCGTGCACTCGACTCTTCGTAGCGGGTCATTGCCAATCTGGTAACAAAAGTTTATTTTTTCTACCTTTCTTGACAAACATATAATAATGGTTTCAGAAGGATTGAGCTTTAGCATGTTCTGACGACACCAATTGCACACACACGTAACATCCTCCATTAGTTTTTCACAGTCTTCCAATGATATGATCTACCTAAACAACTTGATATCATCTGCATATCGCAAGATGACCGAATTGCGAGCAATTAAGTTCAAATCAATAATAAAACATTAAAAAGGTCGGCCTAAGTGTGGAGCCTTGCGGCACACTCAAAGAAGAAACATAAGGCCTGGAGGGATGTCCAAGAACACGAACAAAATTGTGTCTATTAGACAAATAATCTAGAAACTGGGAACAAAGGGAAGTACTCACGCCGCAGGATTCTAGTTTGTGCGTAAGGAGGGAATGGTCTACCAGATAAAAAGCCGTAGAGAGGTCAAAATATACGTCTACCTGTTCACGTTGACACACAGTAGGCGAAAAAAAAAATTAAAAAATACAACAGATTTGTTTCAACAGACCTTCCACGCATAAAGCCAGGTTGTGAAGGGCTGCTCTTATGCTTTAGAATGTTTGAAATGCGCTAAAGTGACACAATTTTATAGACCTTAGCAATGGGAGATAGCAAGGACACAGGTCTGTAATTTTTTACATGATCCGTTCTGCCATTCTTATGTACTGGCACAGTAATAAAGTTCTTCCACAGGGAAGGAAATGTAGGGCTGTGGGCAACAAGTAAAAAATATGGGTTAAGACGGGCGCAAAAATAGAGGAACATCTTTTCACAATAGACCCCTTTCATAATTCCCGTGCCGATTATTAGAAGGTCGGAATCCCTGCACAATGGCGGAACAACGCACATCGTGACGCGTGCAAGTCATTCCATAAGATAGCAAACGTCAGAGCGCAGTCAATGCTAGGAGTCGACGAGCCAGTCAAACAGCGTCGAAAGTGCAATGTCACTGCGCTCATCGCCTTTTTTCTGGGGGTCTGTTTTTCTTCTGCTTCAACCAAACGCATAGAGTGTGCCGTGACGTTGTGGCTTTAGTCCGCCATTGTGCAGGGATTCGACAGCTGCCAACAGAGGGCAGTATCTTGAAAGGGGTCTATAAAGCTTGGAATGCCGACATATGTAACTGATAACTCTGGCTTCAGTTTCCTGATAGCGAGTTCAATATCAATAATTTCAGAAGATAAAATTGGCACGTGATCACTAGCATTATCACTGACGCCATGCAGAGGCAGCCCAGTTTGGTTGCAGGAATAAACCGAAGAAAAATAACTGGCGAATGCATTTGATACATCTTCGGGCTCAGACAGCATATCACCAAACGAGTCATGTTTATTGATGACGAAGCTATAGTTGTGCGATCCTTTACATATCGCTAGAAAAGCATTGGGTCACGATTTAAGCTATACGCTCTACTGATTTACGATGTAATATTTTATCGCGCTCCAACAATGTCTTAGCTAGCGCACTCGACTCAGAAAATTTTAGGTAACAAAAAGCGGAATGTGCGACCTTATATTTTCTATGACAAAGCAATTTTTTCCTTAGATCTGATCTAAGCTCCTTTGAATACCAGTGCGAATAATGACTTGTGTAATTACACTTTTTGGGAACGAACCTTTCAAATGCATCTACGATATAGTTTGTAAGCGCTTCAACGGCACGATTTACATCGGGATGCATAGTCACAAGCCAAGAACGACAAGAAGCGATCTCCAAACTCGCACAAGATTTATGACCTCTACGACACCCAGAAAAGCGCCGGTATAACCGATGTGAGAAGACCGACACAGTGACTGGAGACTGTTCTTGTATAAAATATTAGCAAAGTGAACGCGGCTTTAGGTGTTTTTGAGTAAGCTCTAGCTTTTAAAGCTAGAGCTTTAAAAAGACTTTAAAAAGTAAAAGTAAATTGAAAGCTCAATGTGTGTTGAAGTTCTGCGTACAAAACTTGCGTCAGCTTAGCCTGCGCTGGCTTCACAAGTCTGATACCGTTGGGTGTTTTTTTCCTTTCAGCGCTATAACGGCGACCCCCAGCTCAACCATAGGATACAACCTCCATAACGCTGCGGATTTTGGTCCTCGAGGTTGTGAGTATCACCAATTCAAAGTGTATTTACACAGTGATTACACATTGAAGTTTTAGTAGATTGTACGGATACTTCCAAAACCCCCGATAAGGATACCAGATCAAAACACGATGCATGCATGCCTAAAGGCGGCGGCGAAGTATCGGGACGATCTACTGAAACTCTCTACAAAAGGTCTTGGTGCTTATTCATAGCTCTCGATGATAGTAAAACTCGATACTATCTGCGCGTTGGAAAATAGCGTAATATGACCGGATCTCGAGTTTCGCCAGTTGTAGGAAAGCTAAAATCAAGTCTGAGCGCCTTCTCCAGACAACGATTTCACAAAATGGTTTTTCACTTCCGACAAGTCATATTCCTTCATGTTGGTCATGAACGGAGCCCCTATACTTTCCTCATTAGTTCGCATGCAGGTGATTTGGTATTGGTGTCGCTGTTCCTGTTTGTTAAACACACGTGTATTGGGAGTCTCCCCTTCGTCGTCAGAACTCAGTAAGTACAATATTCTGGTGGTATAAACCTGTGCCTACTCCGCTCTTTTCCTTTTTAAAGTCGCCCCCGTGGAATCTATGAGGGAGATTTCGGCCACGAACAGGTCGACCTCATGATCGCCGGTGATGTACAAAAATCGAGTATCAATCCGGTGCTCCTGTATGTTCCCGACTGTTCTGGTCGACTCAGTCAATCGCGGCTTGAAGGAAGTTGAGGGATCTGTCAAACGCCGCTTCCGCACAAAGAAAGACACAAGGCGAAAGTTCATCAACATGGTGCCCGGCGAGCTTTTGACCGGAAGTACACCACGTAATTGCCGTATTGACTGGCCGACATGGCTGAGTCCATAAGTGCTGAGCGTGAGCTGACGCTGAGCTTCCACGGTGCTTTTACAACGTGCATCCACAACACTAAGATTGAACAAAAGCCTTGTCGTGCCACCACGGTATGACACGACGCGATCTTGGCTAACTGACTGGTAAAAATCTTTTTTATTTCATTAAACGAAACGATTGAAAACGATGCCTGGACATTAGCCTCAAAATTTGAAGCTTCAGAACTCAGGATTTGTGAAGTAAAAAAACAATTTCCAAAAGCCATATTTGAAATTCTCGTGCCAGTGCAGTGACGTTAAAGATTGAGTCGTCCTGCAACTCGAGTTTGTCTTCCGTCTCCGAACCGTCCCGACCGGAAGTGTCGTGTCCTTCCGGGTCCTGCGATCAACCACACCTCTCCGTGTGTGCCGCCTTTCGTTGTGAGAAAACGACGCTTCATCTTCGAGTTTGAAGTTCTTTTAGAGCCCTTTCAGCGATCTCAAATACTTTAAAACGGTGTGAGGTCGAGAAGGAAGGGTAGTAGAATTTTGTGAGCGAGGTGAGGGACCATGTCGCGCCGGTTCTGCGTGAAAGGCTGCCCCGGTGGAGTCACAACCGAGTGCACAGGCACCAAATCCAATTGTTTCGACCGTTTGACTATTACATTTTCCAAGTCTGAGAGGCCGTCGGGCACCGAAAAAAGAACTTCGTCTGATTGCCCGACTCCCCGATCATTCTCAGCGCTACGTGTACCGATCGCCGCCGTGCTTTCCGAGGAAGAATAAAAAGCCAGCGACATCATTTCATGACTCCGATTTTCGATGTTCCGAAAGAAGGAACGTAGTGCGTTCGCAATCGCATAAAACGCAAAACCGCTATTAAATATTATAGAAATGTCGCTTACAAAGCTTCTAAATTTTATAATTAGATTACGTCAGAAATAAAAGAGGCGAGGAGGTGAGAAGAGGCAGAAAAAAGCGCCAAGAACAAGAAGGTGCGCGCGCCCTTGTGGAATTTTTTTTTTTTTTTTTAGCGTTGTGCTATTTTTTGCGTGTCTATGACTACAACTTGCATTGTTTTAGACAAAAAAAGAAAAGAAAAAAACGCCCTTTAGGGTGTCAGTGCTCTTTTAATGGGTAACTGCGGTCGAAAACGAAACCAAAATAAATAATAGGTATCGTGGCACAATAGCTTTAGTGGCCAGATAGGTTTAGTGGCACGAAATATGATCACTGCCGATATATTACGTCAAAGTGAAGCCGCGTACTCCAGTACAAGAAGCTTCGACCAGCTGCTCTTTAGCGGGTAGCAAGAGGGTTAGCTTTTAGTCAAGCAACACTGGGCGAAGCATACCGCAACACCACCGTGACGTCACGTCACGGTGGTGCTGCGAAGGATTCCGCACGTTGTACCGAATACCGCAGCACCACCGTAACGTCACGTCGCAGCCGTACAGCAGATATCAGTGTTGCCATCCATCTCTAGCAGATAGTTTCGGTTTTGAGGTTGACACCCGAAACCAAACATTGAGCAATGATATTAATAAAATTGCACGCAATATCGGTAAAAGTATATCTACACCTTGTAATTCAGGGACACTGACTGAGGTGAAAACAGTCATAATCCCAAATTCGACAATATTGACCGGAGTTTCCCTTTAAGTATGCGCTCGCGCAGAGCATGCTCTGCGGACAGAGCACTCACGTTTGGCTTTCGCTGATCGATCTTTTGCCAGGCGTTTTAGATGAGAACAGCTACGACCTCAGCTACCACGGAAACAAAATAAACTTAGCCAAAGAAAGAATATATTATTACCCAAAACTCCGTGTTTTCGTTTCTTTTTGTTTTTTGTTCTAAATTTTGGGCATGTTTTTTCGAAGTTTATTTTTCCCCCACAGACTTGGAGTTTTTCGGTGTTAGTTTTCTGACGAAAAATCGGGGTATATCGGGTCTTAAACTGAAGAAAGTCGGGCATGCAGTTCCCCGACCTCCAGTGACTCGAATACTTGGAAAAGGCCTCCGATAAGACAAGGAAACTAGATTTAATACATGGTTCTGAAGCAAAAATAATCATCGCTGACGGTTTATATTGGCGGTTGCGTTCTCGGCCAATACAAAATATAACTGTAGATAAATTGTTTTCTTCTTACGAAGCTTGAGTATTTTTCTCTTCAAGGACAGCTCCGATTCGAGATGTATCAGTTGTTCTGAAGTTTCTTTTTATATCTATAACCGCCTCGGGGGTTAACTTTCGGGACTTTTCGGTATTTATTGAAAGAACGAAACCCTGCTTTTACACGTGAAACGTTTCATAGGTTTACGTTCAAGGACTGTAGCTTTTCCACATCCTACTTAACTTCTAATCTATACCTAAAATGTTTCAAGCAAACTTTTCTCTTTACGGCTGTTCCGAAATGGCACTGAATAAAATGATGCAATAAAAGGCAACCGGTAACAAGCATTCTCTCTTTCCAGTTGACATGTTATCTGCCACGGCGTACTCGGCATACACCGACGCCGAGAAGTGTGAAGTACTCCGATTGCCATACGCAGGCGGTAAAACTCATCTTTGATTTTCGAACCTCATATTGTTGCAGACCCAAGTTGTCAATGTACAGGGAGTTTCCGAGAAAAGAGAACCGTGCTTTTCGCTCCGGATAAGTAAACTGCGCATCGCAGAAAGCTCAAACTCAGTGAGAATATGACGCTAGAGGTTGGGGTATAACGCGAAAGTTTGAGAGCAAGAAGTTACCTCGATCAAAATAATTGCAAAAGACGAAATGTCTCTATGAGCTGGCCAACGTCCACCTAAGCTCAATATCGTCAATAAAATAACTTGCGTTGTGGAAGCTTGTGGGATTTATATCGGTAAAGAAAAAAAAAAAACTGCCACCAAAAGAGAGAATATTGTTCTCTTTCCTGCTGACAAGTCGTTTTTGTTTGTTTCACCGAAAGAGATGAATTACAGGCGCTTACAGTGTCGTTTCTCGTTTTGACGACATAAAGCTTCGGTGGACGTCGGATCATAGATAATTTTTTTTATTATCAATTACCTTTTGATTCAGGTAACGTCATATGTCCTCAAACATTCTCGTTCTATCCCAACCATCAGCGTCACATTCTCACGGAGTATGAGCTTTTTTGCGATGCATATAGTTTAGTCACACGGGCCGCAAAATACTGTTCTCTTTTCTTGGGAACTCCGTGTATTTCTTAATGTACGGCATCACTGCTCAAATAAAGAAAAAAAAAAAGAAAAAAGAAGAAAGACGTCTACAAATTTTTGTAATGCGAAATTCGAGCGCAAGTCTTGAGGAGGAGGAGGGGAGGGTACGGAGGGGAGGGTAGGCCCCTCCGTACCCTCCCCTCCTCTTTCTTAACCCGCTAAACGTAGCGGGGAAAATTTCCCCGCTATATTTAGCGAGAAACTTTCCCGGCTAAATTTTGCCGGGTTAAGTTTCCCCTTTAAATTTAGCGGGGAAATATTTGTCACGTGACCTCAGCACCAATTCAGTTTCTCCGCTAAATTTAAAGGAGAAAATGACGTCACATGACTTCGTGTCACATCACCCATAAACAAATTCAATTTCTTCGCTAGATATAGCTGGAAAATCGACGTCACGTGACCTCAACAGAAATTCAATTTCCCGCTAAATTTAGCAGAGCAGTTACGCCAACGGTGACACCGCGAACCGCGAAAACGGGCGCCTTAGAGTTTCCCCCTTAAAAAACTAATTTTCATTTGAATGGTCGACTACGGGGATGTTCATCATTACAGTCGAAATGTTTGTGTAATAGACCCTTTCCGAAACCCCGCCAAATAACGCTGGCGGTCGCCATTTCTTAGGGACGAAGCGTGTGATTAAATTCGAGTCCTCGCCGTTCGAACTCAGACGCTGGCGTCGTGTTTAAGTGGTCGTTTTCGCAATACCAGCGCGCAACTGACGCCTCAACTCGGTTCATTTTTGGATTGCCCGCTGACACAGGGTATGCAACCGCGCCAAGGGATGGGTGAAAAGGTTTAGAGGGGGACGTCGTGCGCGAGTTAGTTTTTTGTGTTTCTTTCCATTCTGTTACAATTTCCGAAAATCGATATATGGTGATCTGGCTATCAGTGCATCGTCGTCGGGTGCACATATATAACTTTACTAAGCATAAGAACAATCGCGGGAAGTGTGCGTTGAGCACAAAAAGCTGCAGCGCGTGTGTGGCTGCGATCTTATTGAGCTTCACAGGTCCGCCGAGGATTCTTACTTATGAAATCAGTCGATTGCGAGCGTCAATCGCCAGGGCTTTGTATCAAACTGATCGTCATGCTCATGACTACTGCGTCTGAGGCAAGTGGACCAATCGCAACTCGGTGCCGGTACTCCGATTGGGTTATTAGGTATGCTATTACTCCATGACAAGTGAAGGATGTGAAGGCGTCTTGCCACCACTCAAGAGGCAGCTATAAAATGCGGGGTGCTCACTTGCATAGACTATACATTAAACTCCTCATAAATTCTTTCGGTGTTGAAACTCAATCAAAACGCTCCACCGTCTTTGTCCTTGTTCTTTCGGAAGTCAAGGTGATGGCCTGTCATTAGCCAGCTGGGTTCGACTGGCGAAGGCCCAGCTAAATTACTGTAGCGCGCCATAGCAAAGTCTAGCCAAGTTCCGCCTATTCCCGCACCGTTGCCTACCCATACAGCTGTGCTGCGACAACCAGCCGGTATTTCAAGTTTTAAGCCGTAAGATGGCCTCGTCGGCGTTGCAATTCTCAAGATGGTGGCGCCCTTCAAAAAAACTTATATGCATGCTTAGTGTACATGCCCACGCAATGGCGGACTTAGAAAATTGGCGCAGCAACAAGTCGCAACGTACTTCACACGGTGTTTCGCTCGGGAAGACTACAGGTCTAATGTAATGGCACCTTCTTGTTAATTTTAAACTTCACGTAGTCATGCATTGCTCAATTTCACTTCTGGAAATGGAATGCCTTTGGTCATTCCACGCCAAACGATCCAGGACAGAATTCCACACTCACGAATTGGGTATAATGCAATTATGTGTTATTGGTGATGCAAAAGTGCCTTTCCAAAATATTTTTGCTATCTCTTTTACGATAACCTGCACTTTTTGGAAAACAGACCGAAAGGTGCAAAATTTTTCTTCGAAACGGTTATAAAAGGAGAAGGCAAAATAAACGCTGCTCGTAACAGGTCAATGTATTCTAAATTATCCAATATGTTTTGTGACGCATTTCCGAGTGTTCTTAAGAATTCAGATGCGTCAGTGTCCGAAAAAGTTTGATATTCACCTTTTATTTTCAAGAGCACGCTACCATATGAAGATCTAAAACTTTTTATATTAGTATTAATGCAAAAGTATATGTTTAAAAATTTATAAAACAATGTGTGGCTGTGTTTCCTAAAATTAATGTACAATATTAAACGTATAGCAAAATATTTCGTTTTCATAGAATAAAACTTATAAAGGTGGTCTCTCTTAAAATATATACTCAACGGCAGGGCTATAGGCAGGGATACTTCAAGAAGTATTCGGGAATACAAGTACTGATATACATGTATATAAAGGCCCGAAATACAGATACTGAGATACATTTGTCTTTTATGCAACGGGATATTCCTGACATCATTCTGCGAAAATGGTGAAAAAGTATTCCAGAATACAGATACAGACACTTATAGAAATACATTTAACCCAAACGGTGCTAGGTGAGAGGGTGCAGTTCGTGGCAAAAACGAATGGTAATTTAGGCCTGTGCTCCTTTTTTGTGCCATTTATGCTGTTCCCGGCACTTACCTCTAACTCTTCATTTATCATTAGTGCCGCTAAATGAAACATGTCACCCCGTTGAACCACAGATACAGATCGGTGAAGACTGCGTGATTAACAAAAGGCTTCTGCCCGAAATGGACCCTGTTTTGCCTTGAGGGCGCATCTCAAACTGTGACATTATAAGCGTCTGAGTCACCCATAGCGGCTGGAGATTGGACAATAAGACAATTAACTTTCTTCCCTCAGCTCCTTTACAGCGTTCTCTTTGCTAAATTGGAAAAAAGTGGAAGGCTTTGTGAGAGGAGCTGATTTTATTATTCTCGCCCGTAACCTCTTTTAAACCACAGGATTTTTGTTTTGTTCTTTAATGACGGTGACCGAGATGGACCATGTTATAGGGTGGGTTTATATTAAAACTTATGAAGCAACTTGCACCAAACAGATGTTTTTATCTTTTAAATTTATCCTAAAGAGGACCACAAATATAACAAGATATCTAGATCTGGCAAAGTATCGCGATAGAAGCGATACATCTTAAATGCATTTCACTACTGAGATACAAATATATTTTTGAAATCTATCTCGATAGAGAAATACAGATACTCAAAATATCACTTATAACTTTTGATTAAAACGTTGGTTCGTGCTAAAGCTTAGGCATCTTGTTTGGACCACTAGCGCTACCTTTCGGCGGAGAATGAGCGCTCGGCCATGCGGTGAAAAAAAACCTTGTAAATGTTTTTTTTAACAGCCTGTACATACGTTACGCCTATATTTAGCTTTTTGTAACTAAGATCAACAATATAAAAAAGTTTAAATAAAGTATTATTTTCTAAAAGGGAGAAAATTATATATTTAAAATTGACTCAATGCAACCCCATTGCATCTAGTCTCTGGTTAGATAGGTGCCTTTTAGTCCGTGAGCACGACTCAAGATGATCATCTGGAGAAAAAAAATGATGTTTTGTAAGAACTTCCTGAAAGCAAAATTCATAATTAATTTTATAGGTTTTTTATGCGTGCACCTTTTACTCAATCAATCTTTTTTTTTTTTAAATAAAACACTTTTATTTTCTTAATAATCTAGGAGGATAAGGTAAAGGCGACTAGAGAAGGGGCTCCAACCCCTTCAATGTTGACTGTCTCATTTCGGTTCTTAAAGGCACACAAATAATATGAACATAGCCTAAACATAACACGAGACTCTTGGGCAAGATCAGTAAGTCTCCCATTCCACAGATGAATGAAGGTTCCTTGAAAACCCCATTAAGACGAAATAACGGCGCAGGTGTGAGATTGTTTTTAGGAAGATGCAGGCGGCAGGCCTCGCATCCAAAGCATGACGCAAGGCATGGAGCGCGTTCTGGACGTCAGGTCTTCGAAGAACCCGCCCTACACCTACCGCTGGCGTCGTTTGTTTCGTTTGCTAAAGTATTCAATAATTTGAGTCTCTGCCTCAGGGCAAGGACGCAAGATGATGAACCGAAGATTATATATATATATATATATATATATATATATATATATATATATATATATATATATATATATATATATATATATATATATATATTCATTCTAAATTTTACAGAATACTACTTTTTTTCTCAATTTTTTTTTTCTTTTTCTACGAACGATGTACTACCGTTAAGTGCGTATTTCTAAACCGAATTCATTACTGTTTTTGTTTTCCAAGTGAGTGCTTTTGTGAATTTGTTTAATGCTTGCAATACAAAGAACTATATATATTTTTATGTTTTTCAGAAATAATGCTTTTTTTCAAACTTTGTTCGTATGTTTTCTTAGTTATATAAACTACATATAACCGTGAAGTATGCATTTTACACAGAAAACCTTTGGTTTCTGCTTTGAAAACTGAATATTTTGCAGTAGTTTCAATACCGGCATTGGGGCCAAATTCAAAATTTATTGTTTCGTTTGTTATTTTTTTTTTAACTTTGCTTGTTTGCTATGTTTGCCCTTGGCTATCTATTACCGTTAGTACATATTTTTAGACGAACCACCCTTATGATTGTTATGGTTTTGAAAACTGAGTATTTTGGTAATATTCAGTATTGTCCATTTATTTTAGGAAACGGTAAGACATTATGTATCAAAATATTCTTAAGGTATACTTTGTTTCCTTTACTACTAACACAGTTTAAATCTTCGCATGGTAGCGTGTTTTCTTTTTTTTAAATGAAAGGTAAATATCAGCCTTTCAGGACATTTTTATGCCGTCTGTGCCATTAAAAACGCTCGGAAATGCGTGGCAAAACATATTGTATGATTTAGAAGAATATATTGGCATTCTAAAAACGCCGCTTATATTACAATCTCGTTTCCCACCTTTTAAAACAAATTTCCACTTTCACATCACCAATAACATAAAATGTTTCAGACCAAATCCTTGAGGGTCGAATTTAGTTCCAGGTCATTTGGCGTAGAAAGACCCTGCTATTATATATACACTAAATAGAGATTTATGCTGAACAGTCAGGCTTCTCACCGTTCACTAACTGACATCGTATTTGAACCCCACAGCCAATGCATGTGGACTCTTCGTTCCCAAGAGTCAACTGGGAAGTACCGCCACCTGCTGCCATTTCATCTTCGATCTCCTCTGCGGTACCCAGGACAAGTACATGGTCTACGACCCCAGCTGCCCGTAGTAGTGGCTTTGAGCAACACCACCTATAGAGTAATCAAAGCGAGCGTACTAAATTTTTGACGTCCACAGTGAGACTGAGGGAAGACACAGATGGAACACAAGTGCTGCGCAAGCGTTCGGCTTTGACTCTTGTCCAATCAACGCGTCCAAGGACGTTGCAACGGGTTCGGGTCCAATCGCTGAGTTGGTACCATTCGACAGTGATCAAGTTCCATGGAAAAAGAGAAGGATGTTCGCAGGCTTTGATTATTCAATGGTGTTAGGTGTTGTCTTTAGGCTGCCTGTAGCAGCGTCTTTGTTGCGATTACATTGAGCGCTGGCTAAACACAGGGGTGGTGGTTGGTGAAGGGTATAGTTGCATCCCGCGCAAGTTGTAAACGTTGGTAATAAAAAACTTTAGTGGACTCTGCAGCATCTTGTTGCTTTGCTACCGCAGCATGCCTGACGACGTAGCGAAACCGCAATTAGATTTGTCGGCAGTGTTTGAAATAGAGGAGAAGGGACGCCCGGGCCGCTGGATTCTGATCCCAGCGCTTCACTGAGAACGAACTGCCGAGTCGACACCTTTGGTTGGGGAAAAGTTCTCAAAGCTGCAGCAGTGAACGCAATTGAGCCTGGGGGCGCTGATCAGCGGTGAGTTCTTAAAGCCCCTTCATAAAGACAAACGCAGGCACATCGAGGGGCTTTAGAGAGTTTTGAATGAGGACATCTGATTCGTCTGCTACCACCAAACCGCCATCTTGCCTCCCACTGATACGCAGTCGTTTATGAGCTGTTTACGCAGTTATTAAACATTACCACTTACAGAAATGTCGCGGAAACATTAAGAATTAAAAAGTAAACAGCGCGAGCAAAGCGAGGTCTATAGAGACATAATGACGACAGGACAGGCGCTAAGAGAGTTAACGCCTGTCCTGTCGTTTTTGTTTGTTTCTTGTCCTCGAAGTTGTTCGCGCCTTTAACATTTAAATTCAATATGGTCAAACTTATCCAAACCCAACGGTTGTAATGAACTTTAAGAGCATTTAAGGTCGCGTGTTCCGTCAACTACGCGTTGGTTTTCGGTGCTGCATTTAATGATAATGCGAAAACAATCTACAAATTATCGTATTTGCGACGTTTCGTTGCATGACCGAGTTGAGGAAGCCTACATGGAATAATTTATCCCGATCTCAACGAGAACTTCTTAATTTGACATTCTCGTAGGCACAATTCGATCCACCGGTCTCACGTATACGAGGTCAGCACATCACGGAAGGCAAAATGGTCGCCGCCCCCGAAAAGGCGGCACTTGCTTTCCCAACGGATGTCGTCACTCTAGCAAGGCGCAGCCAGCAAGCAACATTAGACAATAGACAGTTTTAGTGGACCGTACGCTATAGCTTTGCGTACGCAAGGAAATTGCGGGTCGTGAGTGCGCATGCGCAGAACGCAATAAAAGGGCTAGCGTATTGCGTACGCACGCAACGCTGGGGATTTTGCTTTGCTGGCTAGCAGGCCTTGCGGGACGCTCTCGAGAGATCTCGGACCCAACGAGAGCGCCAGTTTCAAGATGGCGGTTGCCTCGACTGGCGCAGCAAGGGCGACGTGGTGTTTTCGAAGTTCTGTGTTACGTGAAATCGGGGTGGTGTTCAGCTCGGTGATTCTTTCTGGGACCTACCGCGGTCAAATCAGATCGCCCTGCAGCTGAAGGAGTGCACAGTGGAAATGTTCGCCTCTCGCTGTGTTCGTCGACGCTGCGACCTGCTCAACGCTAAGCCTATTCCCACAGTTCATCGCCGAAGGACGAACGACTCTAAAAGAAATCGCCGAAGTTCTCGCTATGTGCTGGACATCAGGGTAATGAATTCCCTTCCGCGAAAGCATTGATAAAAGGTACCGTTTCCACGGGACGACTGACGGAGGCTCCGTGATCGAATTTGGCTATACGCACTCGTACTCGTAACCTCTGTACCCCGCAGAAAAGCGCGCTTGACGAGGCAGCTGTGGCTTGGCTTAATCTGAAATAAAATGGTTAGACACGTTTTCATTTTCAATATTTCTTTCCAGGAGTATGGTTGCGCTATAAGCACGCGGAATTCTACGGCTCTAGCAAATTTAATCAAGATCACGCGCGGTGTTCACTCGAAAACATAACGCACAACTAAATTCGGTCCGAGCAGGCCATCTTTAGCGTACGCTATACTATTGCGTATTGCGTACGTAAGATCCTTCTCCCCAGCATAGGCCCTTGTGGAGACTCCTCAACGCCCGCTTCACTTGCTCGGCATCTCGGTAAGACAAGAGAAGGTCGGCTATGGCGGCTCGATTTGGCACGCGCTGAAAGCAAGAGCTGAAAGCAAGACGCTTTCAGCGCGCGCCAAATCGAGCCGCCATAGCCGACCTTCTCTTGTCTTACCGAGATGCCGAGCAAGTGAAGCGGGCGTTGAGGAGTCTCCACAGGGGCCTATGCTGGGGAGGACACGATAGCATCTAAAATGGAAATTACCTGTCCTGCTGCGGCAATGATGAAGTGGAGCAAACGGAATAAGAGGAAACAAAAACTGAAGGTCGGTTATGGCGGCGCCCATGCACAGCTGCCTAAAAGCGTCTATACTAAAACTGTCTATAGAGACACTTAAGTGAGTTCTAAAGCCCCTTACCGACAAACATCGTTGCGTAAACGCGCGAAGCACGTGCCTCCTCACGCGAGCGCTCCGTCGCCATTCGCTTCCAAGAGCCGTTCACTTCAGTGCTGCGCCGCAAATCGCGTCCATGGACACAACTTGTCACTATTATCCCCGAGCACCCGACTGGAGCGCTGCGATCGCTCGATGGTGACGTTGTGATCAGTATCACGTGACGAGGCCGGGTATTTTCTCAGTTTTGCTTTGCTTTAATTGTACGCTTTAGCGCGTAACAACAAAAACTGTTCGCTAAGTTTTTTTTTTTTTTTTTTGCTGTTGCGCAAAACTTGCGTAGGACGCAACCTGAAAACGAATCCAAATACGTCGAACGAAACGATTGGAAGTTGTGTGTAAGATAGGATGAAATCTTACGATAGCCTCATGGCCGCCAACATCGCTCCGATACTACGCTCTGATGACTAACGAACCTCCTTCGATCCGAAAAGCGCCAGAAAACAAGGACAACAGAAGGAATAGACGAAACGATGCGCTACGTTTAACTGAATTTTTATTCGGAAAAACAAATATTATATATATAAACACCCAAGCAACCAGTTGCTTGCAATCAAACTTCTCGTGAGATGAATTCAAATTCCTTATCTGATAAAAGGACTGAGGAAGTGCTGATACATGCATCGCCCTTCACCCTGATTTTAAAAGCCTCGAAGATTTCTCTTTCCTGTTCTTGTTTTATATCTTCCCAAAATCTCCGTTTCATCGAGTGCAGGAGAACATGGGCAACGATGACAATGAACGGCGAAGTTTCCCGAGGGTGACCGCCTAACAGAAATGTCATGCTCCCTGGCCCTCTCGTTGACGCACCTCCCCGTCTGCCTTATATACGTTCTCCCGCATGACGTTAGTATCTCGTAAACCACCGCTGTTTCGCATTCTACATATTTGTTGGCATGCTTTTTTGTGCATGCTTCCGCCCTGCGTGAGTTGTTATTCACCCTTGGATATAATCTGGATAATTTCGACGGTGCTGTAAACACTACAGGAACGCCGAAACGTCCGGCTATTCTTTTGAGATTGTGGGACAATCTGTGCATGTACGGCAAAACCGCCGCTTTCTGTTTATTCTGCGTGTTTCCTTCCGATTCACTTTCTCTTTTTTTCAACTTTGACACGAGGCTTTCGACGATTTCCACAAGATGTCCTTCTGGACACCCCGCGTTTAGGGTGCCTCAATGTGCATCTGTCATAGGGTGAAGACACCCATTGTTGTATTGAAAACTGCCTGCGCATGCCTAATGGGCCTTAAAATAGCGCCAAAGCGCCGGGCAGGGCTAAGCGCTCGCTCCAAACGAGATCGAAGCGCGTGCATTCTGAATATAGAAATGGCCGAAAAAAAAAAAAAATTGGGTTGTGTGTGTGTTTATACAGCCTAGAACTTGGTCTGCCTCACAGGGACGACGAGTCTCCCAGCTGTAGATGAGAAATTTAGCCAGTGCGGTACAGCCGCTAGCCTGGGGTCTTTAACGTGCATCACGCAGTAGTTATACACGACCGCACGCCGGTACGATGCCCATCCAGATCGAAACGGGCAGGGGTGGGGCTCGAACCCAGGATCCCTGGGTTCTGCAGCGCGAGCTTTCGCTCCACGTGCTCCGAGCTGGTGTGCGCTAGACCACTCGGCCACCGATCCCCCTTTTTTTTTTTTTTTTCAAGCAGTTGTTTATTTACATGTTAAAAACATAAGTAGCAAGAATGAAGGAAATGAGGTATATACATATGTTAGAGCAGAAAAAGAACGTTACATATGTTAGACATTGCATTAAATGACCCAGGTGCAAAGTAAATCAGTTAAAGGTTACAACATTGTTAAAGAGTATAGTAAACTCGCCTCTGGATGTATATTACACTCAAAGATGTTAGAAGTGTACTAGAGTGAGGCACATGCGAAGGCGACGGATAGTCTTCCTGAGGCATGAAAATTTAGTGCTACCTTCTGACCTTTCACCAGAGTGTCTCTCAGATCTTTTTCTATTTCTACTGGTTCTAAAATTCTAATAGTCCACTCCAATTTGCTAGCAAAGTGTCGCCACGCAGGTTTAGGGTTCAGTGTGCACTCTGTCATGTCTACTCTTGACCGCCATAGCGAATGTAGGCCTAAAACCATGATTATCTCAGTCAGGTCAGTCAGCGTCCTTTGGTCGTGCCGCCGTAGGAATTTCAAGGTACACCAACTAATCTGCAAGTCCAGATCAAAGAAAGACTGTAGTTCGGCCCAAAATATTTCTGCATTGGAACAAAAAATAAACACATGCTCGAGTGTTTCTTCTTTACCACATAAATCACAATTGTGTGACCATGGCACGAAGAAACCCTTGGCCTGCTGCCACACTTTGACGGGAAGCACTTCCGTGTGGAACTTGAAAAAGAAGTCTTTCGATGATGTGGCGACGGGCAAACGTTTTAGACGATTAAATACGTCATTGTCGGTTGGCTGGTTTTTCAAGGGTCTGTAAAGCGGAGGAGGAATCAGCGCGGAGACTGTAGCCCAATACAGTTGCTTACGGTTGCTTTTCAGAAGAAAGTCCCACGAAAAAGTGTTTTGCAGCAGGCGGATTGACTGGGCGATTTCTTTTTAAAAGAAAAGCACTCGAGAAAAGGGTGTAGGGGTAGCAGTGGTGACTTGCCATGCCATAAGTTGCGACGCACCGAGGTGGTGAAATGCAGACAGTATGAAGGGGTCTTGCTGATCTCGGAAGAGGAGGAAACGATGAATGACGAGCTTTAGGC